CTAGTGAACACAAAGCCAACATCTTTTTCTTGTTTGATACGTCACACGTTTATAGTTTAATGATAAGCTTGGAGTCTATTGCTTAAAATTTTACGTTAAACATAACTATTAACAGGTTTGATTTGTGCCTGCGTCTATTTTCGTAGACGATACATCTTAAATGTTACTCTGTCGATGTTAATTTTTTACAGAAAATGCATTATTAGTTTTGTAGTACCGGGGGTCAAATTTGTCTGACGGTGGGTATATTGAGTTTGGTCTCTTAACTAGACTTTAGTGCATTTTACGATCTATGACGTATATTAATTAATATTGTCTTGGCTTAGCAATAGTATAAACTATTTGTAGAACAACTTAATTAATCTTTTAATCACAAACTTTGTTTTTAATTTTGTGTATTTAATAATCTCTATTAAGTATGAAATTATAACAGCGAAAAAAAGTACTTATTACTTAGACAATCTAAAGAGCCCTCTTAAAAATTTTATTCATAAGAAGAAAAGAGCGAGCAATAGAAGGGATTGACTAATCAAACAGCTATGATAACTTTATATTTGAGCTATACATTGGTTTCTCAGCAATTTATTGAACAATTAAAACCAATGCTGTTGCGAACCATTAATGAGTAACTCATCAAAGTTACTGCATAACGAAAAGAAAAAAGTAAAGACTATTTTAATAACTAAGGCGGTTACAACACTAACGGAGAGCAAATAAAATTGTAATTGGTTAGATGACCATTCATAACAAGAATCAAACCCTTTATTCAAATTACAAAATAATAACTATTTCGATAAGTTAAGTTGTATTATTAATTTATTTTACAAAACTGTTATGATAATAAGCGCCATTTTAAATTAATTACTTATTAAGTTAATAATTACCCGCGGTTTTTTTGGTCTTATTGTCATGGCTTTATTATTATTACTATTACTATTACGCAATGTTTACATATTAATATGTGCCTTATTTATTTCCTCGAAAATTTTCACAAGTGGGTTTATAAAGATTATATTTAGTTGCAAGGTAGCAATTACACTTATACGCTAATGTTACTTAATATTTAATAGCGTAAACGTTAAACATTTTAAATCAAACATGTGAAACTCATAAAATATCAGTTGCGGCTATTCACAGTGTATGTTTCCAGCAGTCTGACCACAAAAATTTCCGTGCTAATAATAACCAGCGTTTTTTCTTTAATTCTCGATCCGCATTTGCATGTGACTTCTGTTTATCACACATATAACCGAAATAGTGACCACTTTAACCTTTCCAGCTTCCTGTATTACCGTGGCTATGTTGACCGATCAACTCGGCTGGCTACCAAGTTAGTTGTTGCAAACCATTCGCAAGTAATCGTCTGTGCTTTAATTGTATGCGTACATCCAAATTGGAATTTATTATTCCCTATCAGCTCATCTGTACATATTGTCATAAACTTGTGACCTGTCTAAGAATTAGTTGGCGGTTCTTATCACAATGAGCTATCGATGTTCATATTTTTCATCATCATTAAATGTTCTATTATTATACACATTTGTTCAGTTATCAACAATGTTAATATTCTTTTTTTCTTTTTTTTTTTTTCGTCATACTCAACAAAAATTTTCAGTCGTATTCGATATTTAACATTTTGTAACGGTTCCTCTCTCTTATCTTTATGCACGACTTGCACACACTATCAAATCTGCTAATAGTCTGATGCAGACCCGTGTGATATTGGCTGTAAGCATCATGTCAATCGCTTATCTCTGATCCCGCAAGGGTTTGCAATCAATTATAATTATCGTCGATATGTATATAACTCTTATGTACGAACAAACCCTGCATAAATAAGTTATGTGGGACTTAAAAAGTTAAGATCACACCCATTTAAATCTTAATTTCCTTGGAATAAAAAATTTTTTCATCGCTTATCTGCAATCATTATTTCATTGGCGATATCGCTCATTGCATGTCGCACGGATATAGTAAAGTCGGAAAAATTACGTCATTCATTGATAGCATAGTATGATAGCATCTCACATTGTTCCGAATATATTATTATTATATCAAGGGACATTCATACCAAATGGAGACTTGGTAATTTGGTGTTTGCCCGTGACGATATTGATCATGCAGCAAGTAGTAGCTGTGTATAGTCAAGTTGATTTGTTATTATCTTATCAAAGACAACACCCCCCATGGCCGGCCATCAAATGCAGGTTCACTCTAATATTATTGATAGACCTTCGGGGAGGGCCAATTCCGTTCAACGAGTAACAAGAGCGATATATTGCACGTCATATCCGTGTAGTACGGATCGTATCTACGGTATTAGCAACCATATTTGTATACACTGTTATCTTTATTCATTATCCCCAAGTGATTTTCTTTTTGCATCTAAGGGTTGACATTACATACATGACAGCAAAAGATACAATTATATTGACGTCATGTTGCAAACAATACAATAAGAAATAAGGAAAAAAACCAAACCAAATACAAATCTCCCCTCTCATAGTATTAGTATATACACTCAAATAAACCATGTATCGAGTAATTTCTTTTCCTTAAAGTTACACCTTAGATGGTAATTTTAAAAAAATAATTTCCTTATCAAAGGGTGATCTAATAAGGCCGACCTGTTTTTTTTATATTAATATACAACGAAAAAGTCTAAATGGAAACTGCCCACAAAGTGTCTTCGTCTACATTTTTTCTCTCCCCTGTAAGCCCAAACATCTTCAACCTGGAAGAAGTCAAATCAATCCATAATGCATCTTCTTTTCCGATATGATCACACCCCTTTTTATGTCTTCTTTTATGCCCGTTATGCTGGTTAGCATGCGGGATCGGTATGCCCTTCCGTCTCTTTAATTTTCTCTTTCTCCTAATTGGAGAGACAGCTGTGGAGAATGGATCCGTAGTTGTTTCATCTCCAGAGGTGAATCGATGATACGGAAGTGATTTGGAGTGACGAGATGAATGTAAACGAGCATTACGAATAGAATTAAAGAGTGACATGGCTTTTGCACGATACGATAAGGATGTATTGGGGTCATATTCTGACATATTGGTCGGTGATGCGGTAATAACGATTGTATTTGTGTTTGTTTGAATGTCAGCTGGTGAATTAAGAAACGTAGAATCAATATCGTCCTCGTCGTCGTCATCGTCGTCGTCTTCATCATCTTCCATATATCCGTCTTCTTCGTCATCGTCATCGTCATCATCATCATCGTCGTCGTCGTCATCATCATCATCCTCATCATCTTCATCATCTTCCATATATCCGTCGTCATCGTCATCATCATTATCATCATCATCGTCGTCGTCGTCGTCGTCATCATCATTATCATCAATATTTCTTAATCTACTAAATAGCTTGTTGGGTGGTGGGGATGGATGCTGCCTTTTGTCTATTATTAGTCTACTTGTATTCTCTGTATATGATTTTCTTTGTACATTTGGTTCGCAACCGTTTTCATCTTGCTTAATGTCTTTTTCTTTTTCGCATTCTATATCTGTAGAGCGTGCCTCTCTGACAACGGGCACATCATTAAACTTTAAACATCTTCTTGTGATCTGTTTATCTTCCTTCTCTTGGGGACTATTTGTGAGCTCTCCCTGCGTTCCCATGATCCCATTTCTTACGGATGTATAATTGCCGTTAAAATTAGCACTATTATCTTTGTTGATTCTGATTCCTTTGATAAATGTCCTTGATGGAAATTTTTTGGTCTTGAGTTCCTCGGAAAGTAACGACTTTGTTACACAAATATCTAAAGTGACACTTCGCTTTCGAAACTCTATCGGGGATGGAGGCGATGATGATGGTGTTGGAGGCGGAGTAGATGGATGATGAGCCAGGGAGAATGCAACATGCAATGAAGTATTAAGAGGTGGTAGCGATCGTGGTGGCGGCGACGTTGTTGGAGTGGGAGTGGTAGTGGTAGCTGGAGTGGCGGTGGGGGTGGGAGCTGTTGTGGGCGTGGTCGTCGTTGTGAATTGTAATACTGATGATATTAAACTATGTACACTACTTTGCCTCGGTTTTTGAGAATGATTTTGGGTCAGGTTGGTTGTCGGCTGTTGATTGTCAAGCGCGTTGATGGCTGACCTATGATAAAAAAAAACGATTGATTATGAATTACGATCTGTGATCTGCTATAAATATTTTTGTGGCTGTGGATGGCTGCACTATGGCGTATAAGAGGAGTAGTGTTGCCGTTCTTTTCAACAATTGAATGGCGTATTGATAATGTAGGTACCGACTATGACTATTCACTCTCCCCACTAACCGTTCTATTGTTACTACTCAATAGGACCATTATTCACCCCCCGTGGTTGTTTTTAGTCAAAGTGTGTTGCTCTTGCGAGCTTTCTACTTGTACGTTAATGCTAACGCTCACACTAATACTACTCTCATTAAATAAGATTTCGTAGGCCAGTCTAGCATTCTTTGCAAGTCTACACTCTTGCTCACCTTGGAGTCCCGCAAGCATAGCCTACGGGAGAATGAACAACAAAGGCAAACAGTGGTTGCATTCGAGTTGATATCCTTTGTCAAGATTGCTAATTCGACTTGCTCAGGTGTCAGTATATATATATGTAAGTCATGTAGGGTTTACAGTCTTTTTTTGGGCGTAGCGTAACGAGATCCCGATAATATATTAATAATGTAAAATAGAATAAAGGGGTATTTATGTATAATTTATATAGTGAGCATTCAATGTTATACAACGTATGATGTTTTTATCAATTGCATAAAATATACAGAAATCTTACAACAGTAACAGTTGCAGGTTACGAAAACTGTCTAGTGTTTATAATGGTTATTTACGCTGATGGCTATTGTTTGCTAACAGTTAATATAGTAGTAAGATAAGGCAACGACTATATAAATAAATGAAGGGAGGGGAAAATCTCATATGAATCAAATGCAATGACGTATTAGAATATGTGATAAACGCTCGCATGTTACCCATTGTGTAATCACTGCATACAGCTGTGTGGAACTGTGGCAAAAATACAACGACGAGCGACAATTATAACACAATTTCATACGAATATTAATATTAAACCTTGTCAAGAAATTTTGTTGGTTATAGTCAGTGACATCATAACTCCGAAACTACCTAACCAATAATAGTAACGTTAATACTAATACTAATTATAAAACCAAACACTAAGGGTTATTAGGCACGGCTGTTTATTACTGGTTTCAAACAATACAGAATTATCACAACAACGCACATGACAGCTACCCAATAAAATAAATGATCAACGGACTAGCATCTGATTGACCAGTGCAATGTTATAAATTCTTCCAACAACTATAATCCACTGACAACATCCAATCGCAACAGTAATGAATTATCAGATTAGAGACCCACAGAGAGTAAGTCCATGTCTTATCATGGTGATCCCTTGAGCTGGTCGAAAGAACAATCTATCTGTAAAGGTCATTGTTTCCATCTCGTCACTTTGCATTCTTTCATACAACGCTTTTTGTCAACAATCAAAATCCGGCTTTATACCTTTTTCAGGAAATTGCATACACGAGAAAATACCGAGTCAGGAAATGGGCTTATTTTCATTGTTTTTGAATTTCAAAAAATAGTATCACGTAACAGAATAATTCGAAAAGAAGGCAAATACCCGCAATGCCCCAATGTGGAAATATAAGAACGTCACTACGTATATAATCAGGTGTGCAACTATCTGGTAATGTTTGCCACACTAACAAAGAATGTTTGACTACGCTGATCAAGTTCTTCATCTAATAATTTTTCACGCCTCCTCAAAGCATATCACAAACTCTTTATATTATCAAGTCTATAATTTATGGTTGACAGCGAAACTATCTGAGAATCATAATACATTTTTATGCAATTTTCATTACAATGTAAAAATAATGGTATTGTAAGAATCTTACGTTGTAATAAAATAAACATATGAGGTAAACGTAGCGTCTTTATGACTGGAAAGTCAGTAGTGAGCATCTCATCAAGCCCAGATATCTCAACGTAGCGTGCAAACCGTTTAAACCCCACAATTTTGTGAGATAACAATTCCATTTCAAGTCATGTTGAAACTTTTTCTTCCGAATATAATCAAAGATATGCTTGCGACGAGAGAGCTAAAGTCAAAATAGAGCCATTCGATTTAAATAAGCCACAGCCGATACTGAATTCGAAATAATGTACGTGTCATCTTTGAGCAAAACACATGGTAAATGTATTCAACAATGTTGTGTTTACGTTCGATGCCGTTTTACTGTATATTGTATTTCTTCAGTTGATCTTACAAATTTTAAATGCTTACACTAATAAAAATACTTATATTAAAACAATAAAAAGGTATGCGCATATCCTTATTATTTATTCAAGGCGATTGTATTTGATATCACATGATAGGAATACATAAATACATTGCTAATAACAAACATATTAGCGTTAGTATGGGACAAACGCGTCTGTCTTATGTTGTTCAAATGTCATCCAAACTCTAAACCATTTCCTTGTCCAAGCATAGATTCACAATTCAAAGTTACTACTCAAACAAGTTTTTGGTACCATTAGCGTTTTTGTACAATAAGGTTTGTGGGTTTTTTTGCATGACGAAATACATATTAGACCGGTAATAATATTCAAACCCCCACTGCTTCATGTACACAAATAGCATAGATTGCATATTCAACGCGTGCTACTCATAAATTGAGTGCATTACAACATATTTTATTAATTTATATCTTGTTAAATAACTCTATACTCTTTTCTCAATGACTTGATCTTGACTAACGAACGTACGCGCAGTTTCAACCCCAACTGTAGGCACAAAATAGGAAATGTCATCCCAAGGATGTCGATAGAGACCTTGTTTCAATCGTCGCTGATCGAGGTAATGACCTACGCAAATTAATTGTTATTAATATGTACCAGGAGGTCTCTTTCTCAACACCTTATTATGCATCGTTAATACATACCACAAAAACCAATACTCCGTCCAAGCACGAACAATCCGTTCAATGCTCCAATCTTCATATATTCCTCTGCTTCGTCAGCTGTGAACGCTCCCGAGTCTCTCAACAGATCCACAAAACATACTGCAATAGCTCCGTCGAGATTCAGAATCAATGAATCCTTCTTTGCGGTTGTAATAGATTCTACTGCCAATGCATAATTAAGCAACCTGGTGCTCGGAAAATGAAGCTTGGCAAAATCTTTGAGAATTTCGACACGTAAATCCGGGTTATTGCGTGATTTGATTTTATGGCCTATTCCTAAAATCCTATGTATTGCAAATGAGAGAGAAGACGAGCAGGGGGCGAGATTCTGCGTTAGGTAATCGACAAAGACATATAACAGACCACTAAGAATATTGAGCAAAAAAAATTTAAATTACATACAGCTTGTTTTGTCGCCTCATTGTATCTACAAATTCCCGTGGTGTTAATCCTTTATCATATGCCGAAGTAAACATCTCTGCCGCACCGTCAAGTGCTCCTCCAAAACGATCTCCCTAATGATGGTTTAAACAATATTAGAACAATAAAGAAAACGGACAATAGATTTCCCAAAAATACAATAACTCACAATAGTCAATAATCCAGCACACAAACTGGATATAAGATCTTTTCCCGCTCGGGCTGTGACAATGGTATTATGGGCACTGAAAGAAAACGAAAGACATCAGGAATGAGAATGACAGTCACAGATTGTCTCAGTCTCCCATTAGATCTCTGTTAAACGTTCACTCGAATACTTTTACTCACCCAGATACGGCCGGACCATGATCGGCTGTCAACATCAATATCATTTCGATAAATCGACAAGCATATTCAGGCAGTCTTCTCTTAAACCATAGCAAACTCAACACGCCCCCGATACCAATCTCTTCTTTGAATACATCTGATATTCTCATTCCAGCATACAGTAGTTCCTGTCCACGGTCATCACATATCGTAGAAACAAAGCTCGCTGGCTTTCTCACTAATCCGAGTTCTTGCGCCCATGAATAGTCGATAGGAATTTTCGGTGTATCTGACTCGGGTTGTGGTACAATTGTACCGTCAGAAACAAGCTTTTGATATGTTTCATGTAGACAAAGAGGTAATTTTTCAAACGTCTCGGGTACTACTGCACCAGCCGATTTAAGTGCAGCGTTTTTGGCATCAGCAGTTTCTAGATCTGATTGTGCTAACGCTCCAGCATGTCCAAATTGTACTTCAGTAGTAAACATTTTAGCGCATGTGCCAATACACCATGCAACCAATGGTTTCGTTATTCTGCCATCTCGTAATGCTTCGCATACTCGGTACTCTTCAACTCCACCAACTTCACCCAATAGAACTAGCATCTTACAGTTGGGATCACTCTCATATCGTAGTAGGTGATCGATAAACGTGGATCCTGGGTATCTATCACCTCCAATAGCAACACCCTCATAGACACCGTTGGTCGTTCTTGATATAATATTATTCAACTCGTTCGACATTCCTCCTGATTTAGAGACATAACCGACCGATCCTGGTCTATACAACTTGGAGGCCACGATATTATCCATCATTCCGCCAGTATTGCCTATCTTAAAACAACCAGGTTTGATACCTCCGACGGTGGCCGGTCCAATAATAAGAACCCCTCGTTTCTTGGCTTCATGAAGAATCTGTCTCGCTTTACGTTCTGGCACACCTTCTGCTATGATTGCAATGGTCTTTATTTGAGGATATTTGAAAAACTCAAACGTAGACTCATATACTGAGCGAGATGAGGCAAAGTTAACTACCGTATCAACGTCGGGATGTTTATTCACCGCTGCCTCTACGCTATTGAATACGCTGAGCAATGTCTCCATAGTACCCCAGTAAAACTTTTGCATGTAATTACCACCAAATGGATATATCATCGCAGCAACAGACGGCATGGATCTTTTGCACATAAAATCAAAATCAAGCATTCCCTGCACTGCTCTTGGCTGCATACCATAAATGAATGCACGTGTATTATTGGCAAATGGAGCGTACCATGGATGACTAGGTTGAGAGTCTGGCGTTTCGAAATAGGTCATTCGTTCTCTGGGATTGGCAATAGGTGTAAAATCTTCCTCTGTCTTGTGACTCGATTCTCCATTTACTTTGCCTTTGTCATGTTTTGATGACTGGGTATAGTTTGTCGTATCGACCATTTGATCTTGAATGGCATTTCCGATTGATTCAGATAATTGTACCTCATTATTATTCAAGCCCGATCCATGATTAAGTAATGCCAATGGAACGATCTCGGTGATGTGGGTCTCAGGTCCATATACATGAATTTCCACTCCCAAGTCGTCTCCCAATTGTCTGACCAATCTCAGTCCTTCCTGATAATTAGGCCCTCCTCTCCTGACGTATATTTTCACCTTATGTGCAATCAATGGTTGTTTATACTCTTTCAGCGCACGTATAAGACCTTTGAATGTGACTGCTACGTTGGTAAAATTAGCAATTCCACCTCCAACAATAAGTACTTTGCCCTCAGGATGGGGCTTGGAATTATGTGTCATAAGATCAAGGATAGTTTTAGCATATTCGTAAGTTTGAACTTCAGTTGGTGCACCAGAGTATTCGCCATAGTTAGCTAGTTCATGTGCAAAACCAAGAGCTGCAATAGCGTCACTAAAAAAAAAGAAAAGAGAATAAAATTTTTTGAAAAGAACAAAAACCTTAGCTTTGATACAGTTTTAGAATTTATACTGCTATATCATTCGGTACCAATTGTTGTTAGTTACCTGTACACGACTGAAGCCCCACCTCCAGCAACCATAGTCCAAATCCGTCCGTCCTTATTAAGAACAGTTAATTTTAGCGACGCTCCAGTCTTGGAATCCAGTTCTTGTATATATGCCTCCTCCTTTATCAGTTCTCTTCCAAATGGTGCGGGGAATTCCATCGGAGGACCTTGATCAACGTTCGTATTCCCTACATCAACTTCACCGATAATACCAGCGTTCCGAGGTGCTCTTGCTATTGCCCACTTGGGTCCAGCTTCAAACTCTGCAGTCTGATCCAACTTGGCAGCCAAATCCAAATAATACACCTTTGGAGGCTCGTCATCGCATGGATCAAGAACTACAAGTGGATTGATCTCAAGGTATGTAAAATGCAAATCAACGTATACGGAATACAGCCGACTGATGAAATCAACGAGTACATCTTGCTTAGAGGAAGGAACGTTGGTAAGTAGATTCTCTTTAATTTCTTGAGAAGAAGGAAATGGCGCATCGACAGGGATCAGCATTTTCAATGCCTTGGAATCCACATCGCCTACTTCAATGCCGCCTTCGTGAGTAAAGAGGATGTTGTCACCATCGCGGACTGAATTTATGTTTATATAATATTCGGTTGAAGAATCATGAGGCACAAATGGTTCCACGATAAAGGTTTTGAGAACTCCGGATACCTTGTCTACCTAGATGTCAAGACGTAAATAATTTTCAATATTAATATACAAACCAAGCGTGTTATAAAAACCCTTATAATTTTTTTTAAACTCTTTTTTTTACCGTGATCGTTTTGCCAGCTCTTTCCGTAACCCATTGTTTAACTTCATTCCAGTCAGCTTTTAATAACAGTAAACCCGATTTTCCTCTACGTTTAATCAACTGGTCGGGCTTGACAACAAGTTTTTCAGTCAACAACCATGGATGCGTTCGCTCCATAATACTCAACGTTCGCGTTACATGAGAATTGAATGCCAGTTCTGGATTGTTATTATTAACATCGTGTAAAATTGAAGTATCAAACGAAATAAGAGCTACTCTAGTGGGCGGAATAAAAGACTGTGGTAATTCCTGGGAAGCTAGCAAAGGTGAGCGCAATAACCAGTATGCCAGAATAAGTTTTCCATCGTATTCCCTGATTGCTTTGGCTGACATTGATGGGATGTGTTAATTGCAACAAGTATCGAAAGTGATTGTAATGGAGCAGATCTTGCGATATGATCTAGGTTAAAGTTCTTCGTTACCACACTCGATTCGATCAATCTAGAATGTGAATAGAAGGAATTGTCACGAGTGCGCCAAGAAGATACTGTACATACAAAATGATGAAAAACACACTTACCGAATGTTCTAATCAGAATAGACGTAAAAAATCGTGATGATTCGTTCTACTGTTTTCCACTGTCAGAAACTAGCGGTCGGCAGTTGGAAGGCGGGCAATTTATTAAGAAAATACATTGTTGGGGGGTTGAATGAAACGTGAGAAAAGTGTGTGTCGTGAAAGTAGGTTTGGGGAAGCATGTGATTAAAGGCTGTAAGAATTCGGCCACTGATTGCCATTAATATACTAGATTTATGAGACCAAATATCAAAGGACGATCGACACATTGTTGTTTCCCTAAATTGAATGATATTATACCCAAATAATGTTTATTTTGTAATTATCTTTCATCTCTGTGGTGGGTGGCATGTCATGTAAACTACTATTGACCAGTGGGTTTAATTAAACGTTTGTAGTTAGCGCAAACTGATGAGTCAAAGATAACAATTTGAAATAAAAGTGAGTATAACAGTACCAACTTTGGGATTTCTCATCTTGGAAACCAATGCTTTAGAGACTGAACGTCTGTTCAGTTGAGTGACAAGTTCGACGAACGACAAAGAGGATAAAAAATTTGTTCGCTAACGTTAATCAGAAATCCGCTCTTTTTGTTACAGTCTTATTACTATACGACATTTTTAACTAGAATGGCGAATAGAATGGTCTAACTAGAATAATCATCTTTGCCCAAAAGTCTTATATACGAATTGATCCTTGGTTCCGCAATCTCGTTTATGGACTTGAAGTTTTGCGTTCTTTATTATAATTAGTCTTAATTTCGGATATGTTGACCAGCATTATTTTCTAATATTAAATTGATTCTGTGTTACCCCATCACGTATAAAATGGATGCCCATAGTAATAGTCACTTAAGGCCAAGCTCTTTATTGCACCTCTGTATGTTAAGGTTCCGCATTTCAATTCACGTTCAAATAATATCACTACGCACAAACAGACCATGCCCTCTTCCTCAAATATTACTAGAACAACATCAAGAAGGCGCCGCCAAATGCACAAGTCGTTGTCAATGAACGCACATTCACGTACCCTGTCAATGTCAGCCTGGGAAACCGCCGCTAATGCGACCTCGTCTATTACATTGCTCCACTGTAATTTACCAAGCGTTGAATGAAGAACCATGGATTCCAAAAAGGGATTTAATCAAAATAATAACTGGAATAATCGGAATCGGAAAAAACTGTCTCTACAAGTAAGTTTTATAATGAGATCTAAATTGTTTGGTTCATTAACTGAATGATGAGTGTCGCAGATTTGATATCAAACATATCAGTATTACGATTTGTATGGGTGGCGTACCGGACGACGGCTTTTTTGTTCTCTTCAACTCTCCAACATGTCTGTTCAGTAAACCTGGTAAAGGACCAGCGCTTGTAGTTTGGTTGAATGTCGGCAGTAATAGTAATTATTTAAACCTTAAAGCCTATCTTAATCTGCCATACCCCCCACCATCCAGACATCCTACCAACTTCAGCGTCGTCATCAATATAGAAGGCGGTACGACAACACGATGCGCACAGTTACTCATACAATCACTGGCACAACGCCGCGACCGCGACTTCATTGAAAGGCCATCTAACATGTCGTCGGGAATAATTACGGTAAATTACAGATAAGAACTAGTTTAGCAAGTCGAGAAATCGCAAATTTTTTTTAGATTGGTTAAATAAAAAAGTGCAATCTGACCAGCTTCAAATAAAAGTACGATTAAGCGTGACGAATATATCTAATATGATCGTTTTCGAATGCGGATATTGTATAGAAACATTGCCGTCTGTCAATTATGCTGTTGGTCAAGGATTCCGAAGCAACTAATTTAAATAGCTAGCATTCGTAATAAACGCTCTTTTTCATAATAAAGTGACACCACTTCCCTTTGATTCCAATACAGCCTTAATTCTTTTACATATTTTCGGCTAATTCATTGATTACATTTTTGTACCCGATCCCACGCTTCTCAATGCTCTACACTTACGTCTCTTGATTCCTTATAACTCATCCCAGAGTTGTTCATGTCAAGCCAATAGTACACTTGGGAAAGTGATCGTATACACCTAGTGGCGATGGAAAGCTCGTTAGCAATCTCCGCTTTGCCTAAATTCCAGCGAACAAATCTGTTATAGATCTGACGTTATAAAAGAATTGACAACACATTTTTGATAAACGAATTCAAAACAATTAACACTGATAAAGAATTTTATCAAGCTAGATTCACCTATAAAGAATATTTACACGTCAAAAATGATTTCCATATCAGACCAGTTTACAATACGATCCGATCCCTTACGTCCTTCCCCTCACAATCTCACGAATCTTTTGTCACAATTCCTTCAACGTAGTTGAATAATTTGTCTTTGATTTTTCAGTTAAGTTTCAACAAAGACAAATTTGCTAACTACCCCACATTCTTGTCAGGCAGATATAAAATCTGGGATGCTTCTAATAAAGGCAAGTCGATATTCGTCCATCCGCGTTGTGTTTAGCCTTGAGGGGGAGGGCAAATCAGCAATGTCACAATAGCATAACAAGGCCATTTTTATAGTATCTTGTGTGCTCTATAACTTCTATGTGTGAGTCGTGTGTTCATTCTGCTAGGTAGCAAGCAAAACGTAGATAAATGTAACTGTGGCGTTTGGGCCCTGATCAGCATTATAACCCTGAAGACAATCAAATAATTGTTTGTGTGATACAACATTTTCATGGCGCTTTGTTTGCATATCCCGCTTGGCTTAGACTTTACTGTAATAATAAGAGCTGTTAAAAATATTAGTCTTAAATTTGTACATGCAAAAAAAAAAGAAAAAAACTTTTTTTTTTCATTATTGACGTACAGTTTGTGACAGCTTAGCCATAAGTAAACAGTTCAATTAATCATAGAGAATTCTCCACATATGCACGTAGATGACTTCCTTTATGTGACGACGAATCATATATTTTCCGCAACGTGCTAATGATGTGAATTCAAACATTCTGACGTTCTGTTAACTTAATGAATGGACGAATCAACGGTGTCGTAAGCGGTAGATGATTGAACAAATACGACGTTATGCAGCTCTGTCGAGCATATCCTGTACTAATTTCTATAATTCGTTATGTTCTTAACTTTTTTATCGTAGCGTTCGTTGTCGCCACACACTTGAGGGCGTCGTATCCTGGCAACTGATTTCATGTGCGACAGTAAACGAATTTTCCGGTTATCTATTTCCGTGAATCAAAATTGTTTAATTATTTGTTAACAAGGAAACGGAGCGAGTAGAGATCGTTGCCGATATTAAGTAATTTTCTTCTATTTTCTGATGATCAGTCGATTAGTAAACAAAAACCAACTGATTGCATTTAAACTTTCTATTATAATGAACAAACTAAAATTTACAAAAACCGAAAAGAAAACTTAAATGATATTTTACATAATCAATGCAATATCGTACCCTTGTTATAAGTAATAGTCACTACTATCAATTCTCTATGTCAACGCAATCTCATCTCTCTTACGCAGAGTCCACAATGTCAAAAGATACCCCCAACCCCAATTGTTCAGCCTATAGTCCATCCACCCATAAGGTTTTGTTCATCCATAACTGAAACCCAGCATAACACTATATCTGTTCGACGTCTTCGTGTTGTTTGGTCGAAACCAAGAACAATTCGTAATCATCGACTTTAACCGGTCCAATGCTCCCCAAGACGTTATGGTCATACGAATTCCTGGAGCAAGTGACAATCCCTGCTTTATCATATGCATACATAAACACCAAATCTCCAGCTCCAAACTGCAGTGTATCCTTTCCATTGGTCCTAACCGCACACTTCGGATCGTTTACTCTGCTTGCAAGGACGCGCGAATTCTCGTTATCCACCAGCGAGAATACAAAACTCTGAGTAGAATATCCCCAAGTATTTACACACTCATCCCACCCAATTGGATTATATCCGCCGATTATTTGATTAGAATGTCCTATTTTGAGGAGAATAACAGTTTCACCTCTTCCCTTGCATCTGTCTATCATAACTGAACATGGAAATCCGTCTCTGCTACCTCGAGCAAGCAATTTGAACTCGTATGGATTCTCACTAGCACCATATGGCACCCATCCGCATCCTTTAATGTCCTTTTTATCTATCCAACTGGCTACAACTGCCAGATGCTTACTATCCGTCAATATAGATTCCGTCTCACCTCTACGCGGACCATCCAACCCGTAATTCGGTTTACTTCCATGGACCATAAAATACCGCAAGAGGTCATTGAATAGATAACTCGGGAGTAATTGCTTAAAAGGAACAACATTGTTGAAGAATTCGGAAGCCGTCATCTGATGAAAACGTATCTTCTTCAAGATCTGGAGTAACTTTGCTTCTACTGCCACAAAATCATCTTCGCTCCAGTCGATTAGTTCCTCGCTTGGAGCATCAGTCTGCGCTATTGCCCACCTGAGTATTCTGTCCCATATATCAACTTCGTCTAGTCTAATCTCGTTGTTCTCTAACAGTTCCAATAACAAAGTCTCTTCTAGCATGTAAAAGTCGTCTGCTTTAAATACTATTGCCGGTGAACGTTTTATTATTTTACTTGTAAAGTGCTGCAGTTCCTTGAAATCAGAATGTTCGAACGCAGTTTGATGGACTAAAACAAAGTTCTGATATAGCCAGCGAACGTTATGGTCGATAAGATATCTCTGCAGATATTCGAATATTTCATCAATAGCCAATTCGTCTGCCGCCAAGAGAAGGTCAAATATATCTTCAGGGTGGACATGTTCCAAATCAATATTACCACCGTAGATATACCTATGGGCAAAGAGGAATAGAATGTCAATACAGTCAGACCTTTAAAAATTTGTTTCGTTTTATACTATATACATATATGTATTGGATGCATGTTAATCAAATATCAGGATGATGCTCAGCTATGCGTGATGACATGCGTCAGTACAAAACGTGGTAGTATCCGACATATATTTGCTTTACATTATTTATTGTATACTCTCTTTACCTTAATATCACTGAAAATACAGCGGGCGAGATATTTGTCTTTCTGAACACAATCTTGTTATCCAGTCGACAAGCCCATTCTTTAGATAGACCTCTTCTGAAATATGGACATCTGGCACGCAGGATAACCGAGTGTGCATGGAATTCCTTGACATTCGGCTCTTCACCGACTTGAATCAATACGTCGTAATCGTCTGCATCATCGAGTAATTTGAATATATCGACCAGTAACCGCTTGCAAAACTCTTTGCTGTGAGGTTGCTTAGGCTGTGAGTAGCGTGTAAGCATTGCTTGCAGAAAATTCTGAAGGGCCTCACTTTGAGAAAGTTGGCTCATTGTCAATTCAATTCAATTACGGATAATGTTGGTAAAGGATCGAAACAAGACGGGTTTATGTGTAGACAGAAGGGGTGGGGGAAATGCGGAACGAGATGAGGTGAAAGTTTGTTATAAGACTTTCATGAGTGAAATAGGTCCGTCATATATATGTTATACGACAAGTGACATCATTTTCGGATATGCAAGGGAAAAAAAGTTATATATGACAATTGTCATATATAATGTGCATATTTAATATAAAAAAAATTTATTTATAGCGCCCGTAATAATGGTATATTGTTATGTATTTTTCTCTTCCAAACATCCTCGATCCGATCAACAATGATGAGATCTTAGTATTAGTCTTAGGATTTTCATTAACAACCCCTGTACTCAGAGTGGCACTTGTGTTACATTTTGCCACACTGACAATTTCTCCGTAATAAAAAGGGATCAGATATGGAATGGCGTTTTTCGAAAACCTTCTACAGATAAATACGTGTATCAACAGCACAACCTTTGATTCGTCAACCATTTACAAAAGTGGTAAATTTTGTATACGACATTAAACACGTCGGGAAACACGACGCTTGAATATGAATTAAACAAAAGACAAATTTTTATGTCAGAATTCTAGTCTATAATTGGCATGTCAACAAGATCGATGGTTCCGTAAGCACTATACTCAATCCCTCTCAATACACGTCAGCCGCTAAGATCAAGAATATTTTTACGTTCTCAATGCAGAGCATCCAAATTTCATGAGTTTAACTGTTGCGCGAATTGCAAAGGACGAGCTACAAAAGACATAGAAAACATTTTACTTGACAGAATGCTGTGCTCGTCAACACAACTTTAATGCACAGCAAAGTCTTAATTGATAAAGCTGTTGTAGTTGATGGCAAATTCGTTACTCCAAGGCTTAGTAACTGGTTTAGAAAACAGTGTTTTCTGAAATCAGACCTAATGCTAACAGAGCATCCTTATTACCAAGAAGCATAACGGAGATGTTCAGGAAACAAATCAAAGAGTATGGAACAATATGCTAGCTGTTTCAAAGAATAACATTGCATTGCTAAAATAAATAGAGCGTATTCTACCTCCCAGTTTTTTTGAATCAGTATTCCAGTAGGAAAGAAACATGTTATATTTTGTAATTATTTCAGTTACTATTATAATAATGACTAACAAAAAGAATTAATTATAACAATTTTTATTTATTCAATACTGGCTTGGAACAAGTAATATCTTTGAACTTGTCTCTAACAAATGGGCATCCAAAGGAAGGAGAAGTTAGAACTAGAATGGGAAATTTTAGGCAATTTCAGAAACACTTGCTTTTCCAAGTTTGACCTACACTCACCCCTCCTTAGAGTCACTGGTTTTGGTCATTCTGACTGTATTAGTATTGTAACTATCGCGAGGAACTTTTATTCACAACAAGGCGCTCGCTAAAGTGCCAGTTTAGGCTGTTTTTATCTATCTACATTACATGCAGAGGAAGAGAATAAAAGCTCTGTATTAGTATTGTAACCGACTGTATTGTCATTAACATTGTGTGCACGTGACCCCAGTGTAACTACGATCGGCTGACATTAGATTTTTTTGTCTGTTTGTTTTTGAAAATGAACGAACAACATAATAATAGACGCTGTTTGGTCTGTAAGAGTACTAGATGGATTAATGATAGCTTGGGTGGGTATGTATGTGAAAGAGGACATAAAGCCGATGTGAGTATCTAAAATTTGTATGGGAAGCTCATTAAATTGTGTATTTCGTCCGCTTAGTTTCATTTCTCCTATATGCAAGGCTTCGTTCTCACGTGTCTTGCATTCTCTAGATAGTCAACCTTGCTGAGGAGGAGGTGCAGCATGTTAAAGGACGCAAAAAACGCAAAGCTTTACGTACATCTTCACGTCGTAATGATGAAAGTAGTCAAGGTTACTAGATCGGATTATATCAAGTATCGGACTCAAAGCATATCGATTTATTCATTACTCATTCATGCTTATCGCGTCTGCGTTTATTTGGTCACAGCCTTCTCAGGAGAGAAAGCGTATTATTGTTTTCTTTCAGCATACCAACTTGTCCTGAGAGCATTCATTCACTCTATGATACACGATTTGGGCTGCCCGTTAGAATATGAAGTATGTATGTTATATAACAAGCAGCTGTCTATAATTAATTTTACTGCCAAACATTTCTAATTTTCCGTATCTTTTAACTACTTTATACGTCAGTCTGTAATGCAACAGCTCTGGCTGTTATATATCAATAAACTACCTAAACTTACTGCTCCCCGCGAATGGGTCAGGGAACTGGAATCACCCGCTGCCGATTCAGATAACGAAAACGTCGATTATGCCGAGATGGTTGAAGACATTGCGTTCAGGAGTGAATTAGAGGAACGAATACCAACATATGATATTCAAAGTACAAATGAGGCCGAAGATGAGGAGTACAACGATGAAACTGACGTGGAGAACGAGCAGATTCTCTCAACAAGCAGAATCACGAGTCCTGCGATGCTGTATCTGTTGGTTCTATGCTATTATGGTGTATTATGGATGCGTCTTCCCATTTTATTTATAGACATTCACAGAGCGGCCAACAATGGCGTGATACCTTATTTTAATGCACGCGCTATACTGCCTACCGCACTAAAAAACCGTCTTGCCGGCTACATAAGAAATGGATTTAATCATGATTTAATGCCAGTGGAATTATGCTTACGAGTCGTACGAAAGTTTGCAGAATTCTACAAGAGCAACTATGGAATAACATTCCCCGAGATCAATACGCCGCCTTTAATGTATCGATATATAAGAGACTTGATGTTACCTCGTAAGGACAAAGAATTTAATTTGGCCAAATTGTTTTGTATTATTTTTATTCTGTGCGTCCCTATTTTCTAATTAACTTTGCCATGAATAGCTGAATTATATGTTGTTGTCAGAGAGATAGCGAACGTAACGCAGACGTCTTTTACAATAAATCATGCTAAGGGTACGCCAATGCCATGGGAAATATTGATGGCATTTGTCATAATAGCTGCAAAAATGCTATATGGATTAGATGGCAAAGAAAGGTTTGTAGCAAGTTATTATAAATGAAGTTTTTGATTAATTGATTACTGATTTTAAATGTACTTTACCAGAGTTTTTAATCAAAACGATCAATTCGTCATTTACATGCCATCAAAGCAAGACTGGCTAAAAACTCTGAGCGAAAGGCGAGCCGACATCTTTAACCAGAATTTACCATTCAATTGGAGGTTGCTTGTCTCCGTCGTTAGAACGCAAGATATATATAACATATTAACGCGAATAATATTCTTGCAGGCAATGGCAATCGTTCTCTGAGCATAATCCAGACAAGTATGTTGACATATGCTCGTCCAATGTAGTTGGTAATAAACAGCGAACGCGCCGCAGGTTCCGATATAAACAGAACAGTAAGTAGTAGTGTGGATTTTATCTATGCTCAAATGATATCTAATCGTCGAATTTAATAACGTGTATTAGATGCAGATGCGATTGCCGCCTTCTTTACTCAACAAGAACGACCAATGAGCGCGTCCACATCCACATCTGCGTCCAGTTCAACTTCTCTTCTAATTGAGCGTATTCAGAAATTGTTTCAATCTGTGAATATCGAGTCAGCGGCACTTAAAATGCGTAACAGCCAATCCGAAGATCCGTCTACATCTTGCAATCAGCCGTCTATAGGTCAAGAATATACCATGTATAGAGACAGAGAGGCGAACCCGTTTCTTACGGCGCCGTCTGAAGAATATAATAGTGATTATGAAAATGTGCTTGGATTTGCCGCCAATTATCTTGGAATAACCAGTAGTCGGATGCAGCGAATAGTGTTTGCGCAAGAAGTAAAACTAAATGAAATAATCTACGAAACAGCAATCTAGACACGATTGAAAAACATTATCGCACGCACGTCGATATAATTTAAAACTGTAATTCATATATTAATGTAAGTTACAGCTAGTCTGTGACAATCAAACATTAGTTAACTTTCAGCCATCAGCCTCTCATTTATGTCACATAACTGAATATTCACTTTGTCTGGTTTTTGTTGCAGTCTGCCCCATACACAATAATACAATAATAATGTATAATGGTCAACGTCCATTTCAGTCTTTAGAAGTTTGAGCGTTAGTATGAGTATGAGTGCCTTCTGAGACTGATGTTCCTGTAATAATGCATGATAATACTACTGCAACGGGAAATGTGTTATCAGGCAACTGTCCTGTAGAGAGTTTCATTTCTTTGATATTAATATTTGTTTACTTTGGAGGAGATGTTATGCTGTGCTGATCTATAATATATAGATAATAATCGTAGGAGAATCATCATTGTAGAGTGTTTAAAAAGTAAAGAGAGACTTTACTGTGTCTGGTGTGGGGGATGTATTTATAATTAGATCCTGTACTAAATTGGGTTGTATCATCATGCCATATCCAAAATGATTGCATATTAATATTAACTAATTATAATTTTGTATAAATCCCAACATAGTAATAGTCAGATTGTTATGTCCAAGTCCATAAACTCATTGCTGTCTTCTTTTTTATTCGATACTTTCTGTTGAGTTTTCTTCCTAGTATTACAATATTACTGTATTAGTGGCAGTTTCCCTTATAAAGCTAACTATGAATATCACGTGAAAATTTTGTACGTCCCAACTTGTAAGAGAATTTCTTAAATGTTAACTATGAGCAATTAAGGGAATTATAATCATGTATTAACGACTCTTACTGTAAAAATTCTCATTGGACAGCGCAAGCTATAATTAATTTGAAAACATTGATTTTAAGACCGAAATGTTACGTAAATGTGACATGTATTTGGTAGTGATACAATTAAAGTCTGTCACCGATGACTACGGCACGGCACACTCTCTAAACCTATAGAAACACGAAAAATGTCGCAATGACCACTGTATCAAATCGTATGAATAGTTAAACAGTCTGGGAAACAATCTACGAACTTTATGCCATAGATTAATTGATTGGTAAGTTTGAAATAGAATTGATTTGATCAACAGTAAATATTAAATACAAGTAAACCTTAACTTTAATCCTAACAGATAAAGCCTTATTGTTGATGTGTACTTTATCGAATTGCTGATAAAAGATATGGATCAAGAGAGACAAGGTTCAAAGTTGGCGTAATCACAGATTTTGATCCTTGCGTATATTACACAAACAAACTTGTAGCAAGTTGTTTAAAAAAAATACCCGACATTTGTGAATGTCAAATTACAAAATAATAAACAATAGCCGTGCTTTTATTGGAGAGATCTTTTTCGAAGGTCCACAATTTGTAGGACAACATGCTAATCCCTATATCTATTAGATATCAATACTGTATGCCTGACGTTAATATTATTACTATTACTATTACGTTTTGCGTAAGTTGTGATTAATTGGAAGACGTGTTGAATGGCTGTTTTATGATTATGGTTAGTGTGATTACGAGAATAATTATTATTAGTTGATGGTTATTATCATGACTAATTCTCGTCTTTTTCTTACGTGCGTTCTCAGCGCATTGATCGCTTAAATTGATCACGAGGATTACTTTCAAAATATACTAGCTCAATAAAAGATCTATTCCAGTTTTTGGGAAAGTGTAATTAACTCGAAACCAATTGGTTCAGAATGGAGCCTTTTCAGAATCGGCGTATTTTTGTTCGACTCGTGGCCGTTCGTATCAGCATCATCAATGTATACTCCATTTTTGGATACGTATGTTTGTTACTCTAGCGTGATTCGTAACTTTGATCACCCAACTCGATTATGGTCGCTAACATCCCTGCTATCTATTATTAAGATATTCTTTGCTCTTCTACGTTACTAATTAAACCTGTACATTCTTCTCGCACCCCTTGCAATCGACTGTTATGGCGACTATAGCCGACAAACCAGCGAGCAGTCCCAAGCCATTAGGACAGACAATAGATATTTTCACAGAGGATAATAGTGATAGTGCGTTTTTTGACACTTTAGGTGTTGACACTGAAGAAGCCGTCGTCACAACAAATATACAAACCGAAACTATCTCTCCGGAACACATAGACCAAAATAACTCCAATTCATATTTATACTCATACCAATACTCATATTACGATGAATCTCAATACCCAACAGACAGTGCATATTATGAAGGCTACACGAATCCACAACTAGAACAACCACAACAACCGGAACCGCAACCGCAACCGCAACCGCAACCGCAACAGCAACAACAAGAACAAGAACAACAACTACTACTTCAAGAACTACTACCCCAGCAACTACCTCAACAACTACCACAACTACAACTACAACCACAACCGCAACCGCAACCGCAACAAGAAGAACAAGAACAACAGCTACTACCTCAACAAGTACCTCAACAACTACCTCATCAACAACAAGAATTCTACCAGTACTACGAATCAACATCAACACAGGAGCAGCCCTCAACTCCTACTTCGATACCGCTCTCAGACTCGGTATCAACTCAAAAGCCATCATCACCAAGCCCAAGCACATTACCTGTCCAATGTCCATTCCCCGGGTGCACCGGCGAGAACAAACCCAAAGCAAAGTTCTGTTGCGAATGTGGACGATCGCTTGGTGTCGCGTCGCGGGCGGGCACTCCCAGCGTTAACGTATCGGCCGCCTCGAGTCCGACAGTTGGATATAATAATCAGGGTTACGCTCAGTTCTATATGAATCCACTAGCTTCTCATTCGTCTGCATCGTTCACTCAACCAATGTCTCCAACAATGCCGTACGGAATGGTTGCTGCATCGTATTCTACCGCATCCCTTGGCCAGCCTCTCTCTCCCACAATGCCTTATGCTCACCAAGAGCATTCGTTCTCTTCTACCTCGTTCATTCAACCCTTGCCATCTGCTTATGATGGTATGCCCCAGGCTCATGATTATAACAGGCAAAGCACTTATGGCTACGACGCATTGGAGCCAGTACAAGATATCCTTGAACGGCATCGAGGGTGTCCCATCGTTGCATTTGGTTTCGGAGGACAGCTGTTGACAATGTTTCCTCGCACCGTACAACGATTTACCAGTACAGGTGGTGATATGCCCGTCACTAAAGCAGCTCCCGGTGCAATCACTATTCGCACTCTCAAAGACGTCGTGCCGTCCTCTGACATTTTGTCGTTTCCTGGTCCCTTATTATTGGATAACAATAAGGGGGGAATCAAGGCAAAACGCAAAGAACTGATGAAATATTTGGATGATAACATCCAAGTTCAAGAAGATAAAATCAATTCGTTCGCTGGTGATGAGTTGAATAAAAGTAGTCTCGAAGCTACAATTCTTGTCTGGAAATTATTGAAGTTAATGATTGAGCATGATGGCGCTTTAGTTGGAAAGTGAGTGGTTATTAAATAATGTTCGATATCATTCTTTTCTTTCTTTTCTTTTTCTTTTTTCTTCAAATAGTCCTAGACAAAAATACGCGAATAGAAAGTCGTAGGTAGTTTAGTCTGATACAGATTTTTCAAACATTTTTGTTGTAAATCCTTCGCTTTTCTTAAAATTCTGCCAAATTACAATAGTCCGAAGATCGAAGAAGCTGTTCGTAACCTACTAGTACCTATGAAAGACAAAACTGGCGATGGCTCAACTGATAATTTCACAATCCCAGCCGATGTAACAGCGTTTGATGCTAACGGTATCACGGAGACGGAAAGGAAAACCATCACGTATACGGTATCGGGGGATTCCGTGGATAAGTTGCAGGAAATGTTGCTCAGAGGTGATCGCGCTGCTGCTGTTAACTATGCAATGCAAGAGAACTTGTGGCCACATGCTATGATAATAGCGAGTTGTGTTAACAAAGACACGTGGAAGAACGTGGTGAGTAGTTTTATCAGACAAGAATTGAGTGACAGTCCATGCGATGACGACAAATCAAACGGAAGAGAAAGCTTGAGAGTATTATATTCTCTACTTTCGGGGCAAGGGCGCAATGCAGGTAAGACTGCTGGATTCAAAAACTATAAAATGCAAAATATATTACAATTGAAAGGTTGCTCGCTTTGCTCATTCGCTTTTTTTTTTCTTTCTTCAAGTCAAGGAATTTCTTCCTCACACGCCTCTTCTTAGAAGAGTCTCTCAAGTTCCAACTACTCCCGTGTCAGCATTGCAACATCTCTCTACTACGCCACAAGGCTCCCCAACTACTTCTATGCCATATTCCCCATTGCCTACAACTCCACGTTATTCACCAGAGACACCCACGGCATCTTTCGAAAGTCTCTCTAAATGGCGTGAGACGCTTGCTATGATACTGGCCAATCACGCCCCTGGTGACAGCCAAGCTATTACAGGACTAGGTGACATATTGCGAGAGAATGGATGGATTTGTGCAGCACATGTTTGGTAAGAGTTGGCTTTTCTGATACGCGTGTTTGCCTACGATACAATGTACTGACAAATGTGGTATATTCATTAGTTACATGTTATCACCTCAATCATCAACTCACTCTGGCATTGATATTCCTAATTGCCGAATGAGTCTCTTATCAGGAGACTACCTTCATCAACAGTCTACATTCTTTCAAAACGGCGATGCGATTCGGCTCACTGAAATCTACGAATTTGCACGCTCATTACAAAGCGACAATGATGGCTGTTTACCATTCTTACAAGCTTATAAACTACTTTACGCTTGGTGGTTGATCGACTATGGACATGTAGATGAAGCAAGACGGTAGGAATGAACAAGAATGTGGAATAATTGGGGGTTTTTTTTTTCATGTAACCAACATATTTGCCAAACCCGTAGGTATTGCGAATCAATAGCAAACACCGTGAAGGTGTACACAAAAGGTTCTCAATATTTCCACCACTGTTTTTTGCAGAATCTGAAAAAGCTCACTCAACGTCTTCTGGAACATAACAATAACAACACGAATAATGGGTAGGTGTACTTTTTGTACTTTTGCTCCCGGTTTGTGTAACACAATAATGTATCCAACATTTATACTTTATCGACTCAGAAACAACGAGCAATCTTCATGGCTTTTTGCCAAGAAAATGCCAAAAGCAAGGCTTGACTCGCTCTGGGACTCTCTCGAAGGAAAATTCAACAAATTTGTTGCCGGCGATACTAATGACGCACCCAACAAGAAACAACAGACAGAATCAGCAGAAGTTGTTGGTCCATTCTCTCATTTTAGTAGCACAGCTCATCCATCCGCAAGTGGAGTAATACCAACGAGAAGCGCATCTGCTTCAGACTTCAGAACTACAGATGTTAATCAACAACGATCCGCTACCCCAAGCGCTATTCCTCAAAAACAGGTGTTCAAACACCATAGAAGGTCATCTACTCCTGGAACTGGTATAAAAGGCATGGTAAATGGGCTTAATGGACCCAACGTAGTGGATACACAGAATTCTATGGCGCCGGTCCCTGAAAGCGCGCAGGCGACATACGTTGCTTCGCCCACTGACGAACGAAACGGATATTTCGGTTTCTTTGGACGTGAAAGTCTTGACATTCAAGATGCAAATCGAACAATGAGTCCTAATGGGGTATATGGAGGTTACAACGGACAGAGCGCGCATAATGGCTATGATGGTTATAATAATTATAATGGATATAATGGATATAATGGATATAATGGATATAATGGATATAATGGATATAATGGATATAATAACACAGGGCAACAGCCAATAATGTATGATCAATCGTCAGCCGCTTCCGGTTACTCATATTCGACAGAACCAAGTGATATCTCTCAACAACAACAACAACAACAACAACAACAACAACAACCAACACAACATCATCAATCAATTATGTATAACATTCACACTACTCAACCGGATAATGGTACCAACACTGCTGACTCTTCATCTTCATGGTGGAATGAGAACATATCCCCAACAGAAACTGATACCAGCGGCCGCGGACATTATCCGCGGGATTCCATACAATCCGACACGTTTGGTTCGGGCGAGTTTATCTCGCCGATGGGCAACGCTACTCCATTTACACCCGCTATATCTACATCCTTTGTTGCAAATGTGTCGACTAATAATAATGCCAGCACATGGAACAACGACGACGATGATCTCGGATTAGGGAATAATTCATTAGGAGGGAAAAAGAAGCGTGAAACAGGTGTCGAAACAGAAGTCGCTGATGGAAACGAACAGAATGCAAATGAAAACACTGTGACTGGAACAGTCGATGAGAAGCCAAAAGAGGAGAAGAATGAACAAGAGAAAAAAGCTGGTACATGTTTTTGAGGATGTTCATTTGGAACAATTTATGTTAGCTTTTTCTGTGATATTGACTGGGTTACGTGTCCCGCTTCTTTCTTTTTTACTTGATTAAGATGGCAGATGGTTTTCACGTTGGTTTGCTAAAAAAGAGACAACCGCAAAAACGGCCAATCTTGGCGAGGAGAATTCTTTCTATTACGACCCTGTACAAAAACGATGGGTGAATAAAAAGGTAAACCCTTGATTAAGAAACACTTGCTCGAGAAAATTTACGTGTCATTACTCATCTTTTTGCTGCTAAACCAAAACAGGTAGAAGCAGAGTCTCCATCGACTTTAATGCCGCCACCGCCACCACCAACTCGTGCACGAACCACATCACCAACACCGTCAGAATCAATGAACAAGCATGCGAACCGCGTGTCGCTCCCACCTGCTCCATATCCGAACGGATTACCTGGTATTTCTGCGACGCCGCCACCAGGTGGTCAGAGGAAAACTGGTTCAGGAAAGAGACATAAGCCGCGTTACGTGAATATCATGGATCAAATTTAGTAAAGTGGCAAACAGAGAATGAAACATGTTATATGAAGGAAATGTGGAGACATATGGATTGGACTTTTTTTTTTTTTGGAGCTGATTATTTTTGGTAAAGTTGTTGATATGAAATAGTGTAAAAAGAAGAGAAGTTGAGATTCTTAATTAGTTGTTGAGGGTTAAAGAATATTTATAGTTGTTTTGACCCATTAGACTGTATTGTTTGTTGCTTATAAAGTTTTTCGTTTCTAATAAAATGATTGCAATAAAAAATTGTATTTTGATGCTTTAACTTATAGCCGCTCTATTAATCATAATGACATTGTTCATATACTGGATTTGTAAGCCTAGCAACATAGTGTCGAAGTTCAATGGCGCAAATAGGATGAATTATATATTTGGAATTTTATATAACAAAAAAATTCTTTTGTATGGAATGCATTTACTGCTACGTTCTTATTCTATTAGTAGCTCACGTTGGCGCGTTGATCATACTAAACCAATTAGTATTAGGTGGATATTATCCCGCCATAAAACGCCACAAATCAATATTCTACATTTCAGATCAGGACTGTTAAAAGCCGGCCGGTCTATAACTTTGAACGTGTTATCTCAAAGTTTTTTTACAAAGCGGTTAGTAATTGTCTTGTTGAAACCGCCATTCGGTCTTCTGACAATGCCTACATAAGGTTTTGCATCCATTAATTAGGAAACAGTACGAGGTTGTCTCATTCCTTATACAGAATCCTCCCAGAGCGAACAGCTTTTTTTCTGACCCTTTAACACAAGGTTAGAGTTAGGGTTAATGATTCTAGATTTGGCGAGTTTTTAATGTTATCATAATAATAATCTTGCGTTCATAAATCTCGCGCCATTTAATATTTTGTCTGGAAGTCATTGTTCTAATTGATGTTTTCGAAGAAATTTTGGGAATGTTAAAGGACTTTGAGAGTGAAAAATACCTATTAATATTAACAAGCAGTGGAATAAACTGACATCAACTCCCTTATCCGACAATTATTGTTTAAATTGACCTCTAATTAGTGGCGATATTCAAAAACGTATTCCTAATAGTCATAGTAAATACGTGTAGATAAATTAAAATGTATAGAAACACATCTGTTTATTGTGATATTGTATAATACTACTACTACAACATCATAACACTCTCAAAACCAAAAATAATTACAAAGAATATTACATATCCCAATAATTTAATGTCAAATACTTTAATATTAGAATTCTTTTTTTTTTGTGAAATAAATAATAAAATATCCATGCTATTTTTTACTCAATAAATAGCGACACTCTATCAACCAGTAAATATAAAGAGGCATTGCTCTTATAATAGAATATCTTTAAAGAAATTAGAAATACTATAACCTTATACAGTCAACCCGCTGTTAGGAACAATGTAACTTTGTATAGACCATGCCCTCGTTCGGAGAGATGTAATATAAAAGTCACGAGCTACGGGACTTTTATATGAGAAGTTATAGTAGTTGTGTGATGCGCAAAAATAAATAAACGTATGACTGTATTGTTGGCTATTTTTGGTATTTACATATTACACTTATCAATGATGTCAGTATAAGTATACTATACTCCTAGCGCTCTTATCACTCCACCTTTTACTTTAGCAAAGCAACTATTCAATCATGACAAGCAAACTTCCGGGAAAGTTGGTTGACAGTGGCCGCTTTCGAAATGGACGGGTATTATTTCGTTGGTGTGTTGCTATTCTTTAACTGTCTTTCCAATAACGTTTACAAAAAAACTTTACGTCCAGAATATGACCAAAAAACTTTCCCTAAAAAACGTAATTCAAAGCTTCGTAAAGGACGCAGAATCAAAGGTATTTAATTAAAGTATTTCCGGGATATAATAAATGAGTCTTGACTAATGGTTCGGTATTTAGGCTATCAGTCAAATCGAAAAAAAACTTAGACATGCGAGAGACACGGCTTCCGAGGATTTAGACATTATAGAAATAGACCTACCACCGATTAAAACTAAAAAACGCGAAAAAGTTCTCGAAGCTATACACACCGTTTTTCAAGCCGAAAGAATTGATAATAAGCTGTTTATCAAAGTAGGTGTCATTTTGCTTGACACGTATCTCTTATCACCTGATTTATTTTTGTATAATTTAGCGCGACGGTTATGGGAAAATACTCGTACATAAACGTTTGGTGAATTCAATCAACACACAACTTCCAAGTTGGGAGGTGCTGAGTGATGCGATAGCTGTAGTTAATAGGAACGAATTTCGACCTGACGTAGGGGGATGGAATCAAAAACCAACGTTTGCGGAAAGGTTCCAGCCTATAATCAATCGAACTCCACCTCCATTATTATGGATCGAGGTAATGATAGTTTTTTCTGAAAGTATATACCTCTAATTTGACGACCTTATTAAATTGTTAAATATTACAGGTAGCGTTCGATCGGGGTAACGATCGTGATAATGCCTTAAACAAGATCGAATATCTTCAGCGATATTGTCCAAACACAGAGTTTGTGTTGATCGTAATTCCTTATCGATCGCCCTTTCCAGAAAACCCAAACCCTGATGCTACCTCTGTCGTAGCAACGGCATCTGCAAGGAGTTCTTTAGAAGTGCCATATCTTGGTCATTGGGGCATAGGCGTGGCTTTCGATGCAGCGCTATGGTACACAATGCAATGGAACAAACACATAGTTCTTGAGTGTGGACCAAACTTGTATTTTAACGAAGTACTTGGCTGCTTGCAATGATTTTATTCAATAACAGTTAGTCTGGTTGGGTGGGTTTATTTACCAGGTTAATATTGCTGATCTGATATTATTGGGTGTTTGAATTTCAAATATGAGCACAGGTTATTCTTAGTGGTAATGGCCAGTTGAAGTCTCGTCAATATTCATAATGATGCAAGGCGTAATTATAACTAAAGTGGATGTGGTAAAAGCAAGAAGTGTGGATACGATTATAGAAATCAATTGATTTCAGCTTTGGCTATAGACCATCCGAATTGTCATTTATTGCACCACAATTTTCAGCTGATAAGCATGGTCAATGGTTTTCTTTTCAAGGCGGCTGTGTGACAGTAAGGCTCCGTAGCGTCAATACTTAGTGATAAATTCATTGACTTGGCAAACTTTTATTACACTATTAATTATTTGTTGTGAACAGAGACTTTGGGTACTAAATTTAGAATAACGCGAAATTTCTAATACTTGTCATTATCGCTATATTTATTGACCACTGTGATTATAAATTAGTTCTCAAGACGCTTGAAATGACCCTGCATTATGTTCACTCACTATGGATGTTTGATACATTCGAAACATGGCTTGATAATTTCCAACTCTCATTCTTGAATTGAAACATGATCGACCCTGCATATTGGCCAACCTTTTAATTCGTCTTAAAACTTGGTGCAAGCGATTCGGTATTAAAACCGATTACTTCTAATGAAAGGATAATAAATGCAATTTCACTCCAAAGTCTCCTGAAGGGACTATCGTGAAGAAGAATTAACATTAATAGACGTAGCGATATGAAGGCTGGTTCTACTATAAGATAATAAAGCCTTCGTGAATTAAAAGCTTTTACAACGGGCGTTACGAAAATCATGTTTAAGATAAACTGAAAGCGTTCGTGATTGTGTACGTTTGCTAAGAATGAGAATTTTAAGGATGTTGCGTTAATTATTTGTATCAAACGGGCCGAATTTTTCCATCGACACGTAACTTGTTGTTCACCAACATACGGTTTCGTTAGGTTTAGAATCTTATAAAGACGTGATTCAATTTTCTTTATTATTAAAAACCTAATCTCTTTTATAGAATATAATTGTGTATAAAAAGATTATTTATACGTTGACTTTGTAAACCTATGGCATTGTTTCTGCATATTCTAAAAGGCTTTCATTAGATTGTAAAAAGACGCACTTTTAATTATTGGTGTCGTCTGCTACCACTGAAACTGCTACTTTATTATTTTATTGATAAAACCGCCAACTATTACATACCATGTAAATAAAGCAGATTTAAGTGACTTGTTAATCCATCTCAGGTACAATAAATTTGAGTTTTTTTTAAAGTTGTCACGTCTCTCGAAGTGTTTGTAAAAAACCCATTATAACAATCATCATTATTTTACACTATCAACTCATTTATCTAAACCAATTCGCCTTCAACGGAATACGAAAATACACTGTAATGGCAAATTTAGACATGCTATGAAGATCTCATTTAGCATCTCTTGTTAATTTGCAATACTGAGAACCTTTGTTACTAACGCTACCACGTGCATCACTCATTATAGAGAACGTTAACGTAGATATAACAAAGCCGATGTGGAACTATCCTTTCCAACAAATGCTACGTCTCTGTTGTAACATTCGTAATTCTTTTAAGAATGTGGAAACCGCATTTTTGCGATACGATAGTATACTGTATGCTTCAAAATGGGATGCCGCTGATTGTTTTGTTCGCTGTTTTCTAATGGGACAACTATCAACGGGCAACATTTTGCTCTTACACATGCACTAAAAAGAGAATAATGATGCCAACATGAATTTATTGACATTAGATATATATGCTTTCGAATAAGATATAACAATAACATGATGATAAATAAATGTGGGGTTGCAAAGTCACTGTATACAATTAAACCTTGTAGTACAAAATCTATAGTAGAACGTGACGTTAAGAAAGTACAGATACGCTAGGGCAATCAGCACAATTGGGTTCCTTGCAACAAAAGCTATCTCCACCGTTTACTGCACAACAGCCAATAGTGCAAGGACCGAAGCGACAATTGAGATTACCACCAGGTGAGCATTGCCAAATGTCGCTGATACCGAGTTGAGGTTCAAAGGTTCCACTACAATCTGTGTGATTTAATGGAACGTTAGAAACAAAAATTTAACAGAGCTATACCAAAGATTTGCTTAAGTAGACATACTTTTGTCACTTACCCATTTCAAATCCACAAAATAGACCACCGGTATCCGTCGAAGGGCATTTACAGGAAAGTGTAGACGGACAGCCACAATTTGGAGAGGGACTACAGTCAGCGTAGACACCAGTGGTGATAAAGATCAAAAGACCCAGGATGAACAAGGAACAAATGTAACGGTTCATTTTTGTCGCGCAATTGGGGAAAAAAGCCGATCGAGAAGAAGAAAAAAAAAGAGTATATTTGAGCGCGTTTAGGAAATAAATTGAAAATATAGAATTGTTTTGTAACGATGTTGGTTGTGGATGAGGCATCTCAAGTTGCGTTTATATAAGCATTTTTCTCTTTGTCGTTACAACTATAGCAATAACATATTAACCAGCGTAGCAGAGTAGTTTTTCGAACAATCGTGTCAACACGTTGATGAATTGTTTATAATAACCCGGAAATCTTACTCGACGTTGATATCTTTTTATTAAACCAAAAGGAAACAGTGGAATTAGCATAACGGGTAACCATTATCTTAACAAGATTAGATCCGCAAACAATATGCGTTTGTCTACCGAAAGAAAAACATATAAAAACATATTAATATTCTAAATATTTACTTTCATGGACTACGCAACGCATGATTAGAAATGCGAAATGTTGTTAGTAATGATATTTGCTATCAAAAAGTCAAGAAAGTGGCTGAATAGTAAACATTTAGCCGCAAAATACCATGAAAATACTAACCAAATTTGGAAGTGAAGATTTCTGTATGCATCGCAGATTAATGAGCATGCAGTTTGTTTCGAAGTGAAACAATACCGCTGTGATGCGTGTAAAAAAACCGTGCTTTGCAATCAGCCTCATTTTATGACGCATTTTTAGGTACTCGTTTTACCCAGATTTCAATCATTTTTAGATCGTACCTGATAAAATTAACAAATCAAAAAGTAAGGGGTAGGTTTCAGCAAATATGATCATGTCATCATAGTACTGCCATATAAAGCCCCAGCATGTATCATTCTCATTCTCATTCTCATTATTGTCTTCTTTACAGCTGGCTGACATAATCGTTTTCACCTTTCTTGGTACTCGATCCGTAACGCAGTAATAGTTACACGATAAACTCTGGATTACAGTTTAGCAATCAGCCACATCGTGTACGACTTTGGCAGTTAATGTTTACGTAAAAACGGAAAAGCGCAACTTTATTGTGACACTTTACTCGATAAAGACATCAAACGAGAAAAAGGGAGGTTTTCGAACCCACCAACGAATAATAGGCATTTTGCTATCAACGGACACTGTGTTTACGCCGAAAAAATGAGAACAATAGTCTTGAGCGACATTCGAATGAAACGGGGCTCATTTTCGAAAAATCGCTGTTCGGAAAAAAACTCTCCGCATCTTTGTATATATTATTTTGGACGAATTCACGTTGAAAAACGGTTAATAATATTAAGAAAGAGCCTTTGTTCTTCAGCAGAAATTCATCCGATGATTTAGAAAGATGTTCTTGTAATTATAATGTATTGATATTCATTGACGATGTTGTTCTGCGATTGTTTGGCATTCGAAATAACGTATTTATAAATATAGAACAAAAACTATTAGTTCGTTAAAAACAAACTGATATGGACATTTTTTAAACGAGCAACGCAAATAGTAATAGTAATAGTAATAAACATTTTTTCGTTTATTATAAATTTATGTGCTACATCGAATTCTATTGGCAATAACTCGATAGTCGGCACCTTATCTGTGTACAACGGTTGACTAAATAAATTGGTGGGGACATCTCTAACTGTTGTAGTTGAGTAAAGGTTGCGTCATTAGTTTTATAAAATAAAAAGACGTAGACTGCATGTTTGCTGCAGTTTTGCAATCTGCGCTCAACTTTTAGTTTTGTACTTTTTCCACTTTGGAAATTAAGACTATTTCGACGGGAGTTTTTTTAAAAAAGAAAAGTTGTAAAATTACAAAAATTTGGAGGCAGACGCAGTAACCGGTTAACACTTATAACACAAGTCTTATAATTCTATGCAGCTTGGAATTAAAATTACAGACACAACCTTCAAAACTAGCGCAAAAGTTTAGTTATAAAAAAGCGATATAGTGTATTTGGACTCTGCTTTATACACTAACGCAACCTTAACTATATCATGGTTTTGTAACTATTGTCAGTTGGTAATAGTAAATGGCAGATCTTAATCACATTACGTAAATATCATGGATTAAATGCAGTAAATAGTAGAGTGTTGGATTACATACAGTACATATAAAAATACATGGCGTTGGACTCATCATCGATTACTTGGTGAGGAAAAGACGAGTTTGACATTGTTAAAATTGAGGGGGGGAAATTTTGTAATGTTTTGATCCATCAGACTTATTGTTGCTATAAGCTTTTTAATATAATAATTTGTGGTGGAAATCTGTATATTGCTTGTTATTGCCTTTACAATTAAATTTTGTATCAAGGTGTTATCTCCGTCATATAATTAAGACCGCAAAACGTATCTGCATTTCTAACTTACAATATGTGTTTTCAGCATATTTAGGCAATGTGAAATTTTCTATGTTGATTGATTAATCACCAAACTAGCCGGCATACTAGTGTAAGCGCATCCCATGGGACAAATAAACGTTTATCTGTAAATAACTCGTTATTGTAGAATCAACGCCAAGCACAGTTAATTGTCTGCTTGGCTTGTAACTTTCAACCGTTAGTCAAATTTCCTTGCCGCAATGCATAAAACAAAAAACATAAACATGTTTTAGCAAACTTAGACACGTATGCCGGTATACTTTTTTATAATTCCAAGCAACATTATTTGACTAAGTTTTTATCAACAGTCCTCGCCGCATATTTTTTAGATGCGGCGGCTTTTGTTATTATATTTTATGTCCAAAATAGTAAAGGCACTGCGTGTTTAGATATAGTTTCCCTAATTACAATTTGCAATCGCTCATTATAACAAAAAATATAACAAAAGTGGTGTAAAAAATAATTGCTATGTTGCTGTTACTACTTTTTGTTAAAAATTAAAGAACGTTTTTTGCTCGTTAAACAATATTTTAATGCAGATTATTGTTTGAGCTGCAAAAAATTAATAAGCCGACACAAACCAAAAGAAAGTAAATAATAAGTAATAACAATGCAAATTTATTGACATTAACAAATGGCTTTCAAATAAACTTTAATATAGTAACGCTTAAATCTACAATAAATGAGAGTAAATGTCAAAAAGTTATATAAATGGTGCAAAATTGCGGATTTAAATGTATACTATTAAACGTGTCTGTTCAAACGAAAAAGATTAAACACCCTCCTTTCTTTACTGCGCAAAGACAGTGAAACAAAACCATTGCAATCAGCACAATTGGCTTCAAAGCAACAAAAGCTGTCTTGATTGTCTGCTTGCAGCAACCAATATTGCAAGGACCAAAACGACAATTGAGGTTACCACCGGGTAAACATTGCCAAGACCAAGAGTAGCACAACTCAAAAGTGCATACCAGACCAATAAAAAGATGCAGACGGCTGACCAGGCATTTGGTAACGACTATTTTAACTACCTTTATGGCATCATATCTACAGGTAATTTATTATAAAATATAAGAAGAGTCTGATAGAAAGTATCATATACCTTTCATATTTTAGTCACGGAATGGCGATTTATTATCTATACTTCCGAGGAAATCTATTGTACAAGTGGTAGCGAATACCAAATCAATCTATCAATATAAAAAAGGTAATCGGGATAATTGTTGGCTTGTTAAGGATTGGGTTAGCGTTAATAATCCCGCAACCAGTAAGATAAAAAATTCGTTGAAAAGTAATGGACTAGATAGTTTATCCATCACACATGTATTATGAGACAATAAAGCAACAAGACATTTAACTTTTGACGCGTAATATTGGGAGTATTATGAAATCGTCATCCAAGACGCATTCGGAAATTGTTTTCAAATCATTTTTGCAAAAGGGGTTAACATATATGTAGAAACGTTTGGTCGTATAATTTTATCATCTACTCATCTCTTTTTATAAGCAAAGTGTCTACGGTATTAATAATTATCATGTTGCGACAAGCTCATGAGAGTATCAAGTATATATGTTGAGTACTATATTAAATTCGAGCGTCCATCCACATCCAAGCACAAGATGTTCATTCCAACTGTCAATCTTATAGTAAACCGGATTATTGTTGACATTCCAATAGATTATATAGGGAGCTTGACTGGGTCGGCTGTTTTGAGGGGTCGCAGGACTCGAAGGTATCCCAGGACTCGGATTCGGCAAGTAAGGAAGAACTGAATCGGGAAGACCAATCCCAATATATTTAATTCTTGGGTAGATTCGTTGAACAAAAGCAATTTTATATAGAGCATTGTCACGGTCTGAGTTGTTAAAAAACACCTAAAGGAATTTAAATCTGATAAGCCACATCGTCTACATTTTAAAGCGGAAATTTAAACATGGTAATAATTACCTCAATCCACACATTTGGCGGTGGAGCTCGATTAATAATAGGGTGTACCCGTTGAGGAAGCGTCGGCCTTCGATACCATACACCAAGGTCAGGTCGAAGCTGGGCGCCTTGTACAATACATATTGCATTGGATGCTATACGCCAATCCGGATTATGTGTCGTGGCTGAAACACCTAATTTGAAATGTAACTCTTCTTTCGCAAGCCCGTCAAACTAATAATAATTCGGTAATACATATCATATTAATAATGTCTATGAAAAGTTTCGATCACATTTCTCTGTCCGGCACATGATCTCGACCAATATTGTGATTGAGAGTATGACTCCCGTTTCCTAGTATAGGTAAATGTAACTTACTTTAATGAAAAGCTTGCTCCCAATTATTTCTGCGTTATAATTCTCGTGTATTGCTTCATGAACACTTGCACCAGCTTCGTCCAGTCCAGGAAGATTAATTGTGATGACGTCTTTCATTTTCCTTTCCTTTAGTATTTCTTCAATCTTCGCGAGGATCTATTATGATCGTTAATCATACTCTTGCAATTGTTTATAAACAGTCTTAAACACTATTGAAGTACCATATTGACTTTGGCGGCTTGTCTAGTTCCGAGAGTGGTGACATCTAATTTTTCTGATCTTTCGAGTTTGACGCTCATGTTGAAAGGTTTAGGAAAGGAATAAAATTAAACGAAAAACATTACCTTTGTATAGAGGATCGATTGTGGAGAAAATGATGTTTCCAGAACTATCTACTGTGCCACATATCACATGGTTTTGGTCAACAACGTCATGTATCATGCATTCACGTATTGCCAACGATACCTCTAGCGTAACTTCGAAATTGTCAATACACAGTCGCACCTGTCTATTTGCATAACGTATATTTGCATAAGCTGGCCCTAACTCTAGTAAGTCCACCAACGTATATTTGCATATGCGTACTATAAAAAGAGAGATCAACCAGATGATTTAAATTATTATTATTATGCACAAGAAAATTACTAACGTCGCTTTTACACCACTTTATTAATTTCTTTTGGGTCATTCGTTGATTATTTTGCTTTTTAGACAGATTCTGGTAGCATTGTTGATTGCTTCACGTAGTGTTTTTTATCATTTTATTGTACAAGAGGACATAATAATAATAAAATTTTGAGATCAAATCATGTGAGTAGTATCAACAATCATGTAATAACGTATATTGCATAAACATTTATCAGTCCCAACAGTATGCAAATAGACAGGTGTGACTGTAGCTTGATGCTAGTCTCCGAACTAATAAAATATTACATTATTGCTGTACTTAATTATAAAGCTATTATAAAATGAGTTGAATCTCAGTAACTCTGACAGTTATGACTGAAAATATTATTTACAGGACATAATAATACGGGACTTGCAGACTTTTTGAAATCTACTAAAGGCTGATACTTTGGGAATAAACAAGAAGAACGCTAACTTACATAGTTTGCTTAAAGAATATACTATATATTGCAACTACAACTATTAGGTTTCCATGACAGTAAGTTTGGTATTACGATTTTAATTAAATTTGTCATGACTTGTATAGAATGAGTAAGTCATTTTAAGGTCATGTCTCTCATTCACCGAAATTATTGATAAAGCTAATTGTGGCCGAACTTTGGTTGGTCGAGTCTAAGGACATTTTGTGGCATATTTTTGTTTTTTGCAGATAGAGTTATTAATTTTTTATTTTTTATTTTTTTTTTTTTTTTGAAAAAACCACCTAGCAGTCCCGGTTTTTGTCGTGATGCTTAATTTTCTTAACAGTTAGTGGCCTTTAAACAGGCTTTTTATACTCACAATTCGTATCGGCGTTGTACGTGGGCGGTTTGAAAAGTTTTACGTGTGGCTTTCAAACTCGAGATTACATCAGTTTAACTAAAAATTGGAGTTATCATAAAGTGGACATATGTTCATGTAACAAATGAAAAAAAGTAGAAGCAAATTCACTATCTCGTTGTCGAGAAACTTTTTTTTGTAAAGCATAGTAAACAACTGGGAAAAAATGAGCCATAAGAACTAACGACATTTTATTTTTGCTTCTTAGGAAAATGGCAGAAATGCGTCTCAAATCTACTAAAAGTTGGTAAATATTAGAAAGGAAACAAGTATTGCCTACCAGCGCAATTAGACGTCGGATTGTTACATTCAAATACGAATAAGAAGAAATTAAAGACGAAAACTCGTTCTGGACGTCCTCGCAAAGCAGTGAGGTCAGAAAAATTGCCAAGGTCGAGGATTTTGTTAGCAATAACCCGCACATTTTTATTAAAATTTTAGCCAACCAAACCAGTATTTTTTCTGAAAAAATCTCTCACATTTTGCATAGTGAGCTGAGCCTACAACAGAACGAGACGACTATCGCGAGGAACTTTTATTCACAACGAGGTGTTCGCTAAAGCCTAGTTTAAGCTGTAGATCGTAACGTACGACAATGCTGTGCCACATAAGGCAACGATCATGACGGAGTATAATGAATGAAACTTATTCTCTATTGTCATACAGTTGAGACCGTATTCCTTGTAATTTTTTCGGATAAAGAAACAACTGAAGGGGAAAAGATTTGATAAAGACAAGGGCTGTTCAGGCAGTTGCTGAACCATCCCAAAAGCCGACCGTGAGAAGTCTTTCCACAGTTGACAGAATCGTCTGCAATGTTTCATGGACATTAATGAGGGAATAAAATAGTCGTATTTATACTTATTATGAAAATTTCTGGAAATAAAGGTCTACGCGCAAAACTTTTTAAACCCCCACGTAATGCTGTTATGTCTTGGAAATGACACACTCACTTCCGACACACAAGTACATGAACAATGTATTAGTATATCACAACAAATTCGCATTCTTTTTAATGTTAATGCGTTTGCTTATTATTACAGCTTATTGTTGTCAACGTTTTCACATTCACTAAAAGATCAACAAACTAAAACGTCCAAGTATCGACGTATTCACCGTCAAATTTTTATCTATCGGTGGCCCCTGTCACTTGGACCCGTGATTTGGGAAAAGTTTCCGGTATATCGATTTTGTACTTATTATTATGCTCAATTAGATATTGTGAATCATGGTATGGCTATTCTCACTCGGTATTAAGTTAGGCAATGGTTGCATTCAAATCAGTTCAAGACAACATTTAGCTATGCATAACTTTGAACTGTAAGCTTTCCCTTTTCGACAATGTGAATATGTCAGTGATAGTAGACATGGAAGTTTCGTATGTCTAAAGAAAACATGGGAGATCCAGCAGTCTAGATCCGGCTGCACATCGAAGGATTTACCTCACGCGATAATCTCAAATGGACAGTTCCGTATTCTATGAACAAAAAGATGGCGTCTAACATACCGGTTATGAAACATTTACAACTATTGGTACACCCGTGTTATACAATAAAATGCTCTTTCTGAAAGGAGTGAAACTTGTTCATTCAACACAACATGTCGTTAGCATTAGGGACTATGAAGAATCCAGCAATTGACAACTTGGTTGAATCCTCCCTGGAAAGTGAAAATGACTTAAAACTTGAATGGATTCCTTACTCGCAAATCAGCGACATAGATCCAACTCAAATTGACAACGTTTACTACGCTATTCGCAGCAGTTATAAGACGATAACGCTGGTATTGCTTGGAAGTAGCGAAGAGTGCACGCCAACACTTGTGAGTGAGTTTGCCAGAATATACTCACTTCCAACAGACAAGTACAATAACAATTACAATAACTTTAGACGATATAAGCAATGGCTTAAGGAACCCAACAAACTCATAAAGGGGTTTACCAAATACAATAACAACTATTACATGGTTGCCGATAGATTTTTTTACCAGTATTATTCTCTTTATGGCTTCTGCTCCACATGTGGAATACTCCGATGTAGTCCCGTGTGGTGCATTTGTGGTTATAAACAATTATCCGATGGGTGGACTAGCAACAATCACCAACTCGATGACTTTATTAAGAAATCTCAACTACAAACAAACTCTCCAAATGACGCCTATTTGGAATGGATTCCATTCGATTGTATTGATGATAGGAAAGATGGAAGTGGATACTTGTATTATGGTCTACCTGCTCGATCTGTTAAATTTATTCCAGTTGAGATAACAGATGAGACACATGATTTATATTATGCCGAGGTAAACTATTTACTTACGCGTCATGTTTATTGAATAGTTTAAATAATTATTGACTTATTATTATGTATCATTTCCACTAGTTACGTGATAAGCATCCAGATATTCTTACCACGGATGTTTGTGTTACCATCGGATTTACGTACAAAGCAAGCGAACAAAAGTATTGTCTAATAAAAGAATTGAATGGGCATGGATTATGTCTGGCGTGTACATGTGCGCATAGGGCTTATATAAAGGCATTCTGTTTCAGCTGTAAAGCACCACGACCTCTTGACTGGACTACAGGAAACAAGTCTTGGATTCATTTATTATGAAATCGTGGAGTAATGTGAAGAATGAAGACGATGGCCATATACAATGGATAGAATATTCCCTGTTAACAAATGTACAAGAGATGACGCCATTACGCCATGGATGCACTCGTATAGCGGAATGGTTAGAACCGACGATAAACAAATCGACACGAGTAGCACTCAAGCAGATAGGCGATAGTCGATCGCTGGATCTTTATCAGGTAAATTATTTCACATGTAAAATTCTGAATAATTATTGGTCGATCATTGTAATAATTGTATCGTTTACGTGAATAGATAACTCAGGAATACCCGGAGATATTAACCCCTGATAATAATTGGATAGTTGGATTCACTCAAGAGCCATCTACTCGGGAATATTATTTAGTTTTCTACCATGAAATATGTGTTATATTGGACAGGATTATACAAATCAACAAATACACAACATATATTCAGTATGCTGACTTTTATGATATTAAACAGATTGGCACTGGTGGTTATGGGACAGTTTATACTGCCAAGTATAAAGAAAATGAACAAGGACGTATTATTAGAAATGAAGCTGTTGTACTCAAACGGTTTAAAGATTTTGATAAAATGCCAGAAGTATTTATTTCAGAGGTAAGCATTCTTGATAGTATGAACTAAAATGGTATTTAATCTGACTCTCTATCTATGTTATTTTAGCGCTATTAAACTTTTGCCTCCGTATCATGCGCCTTTTCCGCAAATACAAACTTTTGCCTCCGTATCATGCGCCTTTTCCGCAAATACAACTTGCTCACCAATTGGTCACTGCTACCACAAGACTAATCATATTAAGTCAACCATATACTTCATTTGGTTAGCATCATGCAGTACCGTACGGGCC